TTATCATAATGATTGGCATGAATATTTGATACCCTTAGAATTTACTTAGAATGATAGTATTCAAGCAAGTACTAGTCATTCACCATTCTTCTTTAACACCTATCAGCATCTGATTATACCAACAACTCTCCATCATCTCATTAATACCAACAACTCAATAATGGAGGAGTTTATACAACAACTTACAATAGCCTTATAAGAGACGCAACATTGTCTTCTTATCACATAAAATCAATAAAAGTAATATGCTAATAGCCATCGACAATATAAGACCTTTTAAGAGGGTGACTAGATATTACTCTCCAACACTAACTTTCCACTTGCTACATCAACTCAAATTTGTAAGTTGGCACCTTGGTGGCTTGGATCTTTTTGCATTTTTGTAATGATTTGTGATGTTGCATATTACCTTGAACTTTTGCCACATATTCCGATCCATTTGGTCCTTTATATTTTTTAATTCAAAGAATTTCATATTAATTCAAGGTACTTTTTAAACCATCATCAACTACCACCACCACTACTAGTTGTGATTAATGACCAACAAGAGTATGAAGTCGATAGCATTTTGGAGCATCACTACTTTTGTCATAGCAATGGACATCTACAACTTCATTACAAAGTCCTTTAGAAAGGTAATCCTATCTATGATGCAACGTGAGAATTTGTACAAAATTTCATCCAATGTCAAGAAATAATTTAGAGATACCATTGGAAGTGAAATGAGGACGTTCCACATTACTGGAAGAGAATTAATTGTAATGGTGTACGGATAAGAAATTTATATTATTGATACATAGAGATAGATAGTTGGAGCCATCTTTGGGAAGTTTTTAGAATTGAGGCTATGTTGGTGGTCTACATAGGATCTCTCATAGAACATTCTAAAAAGAACTTAGGATGGTTATTTAGGTAGGATCCACTATTAAGAACATTCTAAAAAGAACTAAGAGTAGTTATCTAGGTAGGATCCATTATTAAGAACATTCTAGAAAGTTCCACAATGGTTGGATAAAGTATAAATAGAATTAGCCAAGACCATTTGGATATCCGATCAAGTATGGCTTTGATCTCTTTTTCTTAGTAAAGTTTGGTTTTGTAATTTTCTCTTCAATTCTATTTTATTCTCTTTTTCTTTGTTTTACATTTCATGTTCCATTCTATTTAATTATATTCAATTTTGTTTTGATCTACGTTGTTCTATATTGAGATGGGATTTGTATTGCTATAGATTGGAAGAATCTTAGATCTTAGAAATAATCTAGTCTCGTTTCAATTAGAGTTTCATTAGAGTTGGTCTAAGGTTTATGATTTGATTAAGAATTATTTAGAATTTATTTAGAATTTATTTAGGATTTTTATTTTTAATATCTTTAATAATTTTTATTTATTTTTTTAAAAAATAAAATAATATAATATTATTATTATTTATTTAAATATTTATTTTTATATTTCTTTAAAATTTCTTTGTTGTTTTTTATGTTAATTTATGATTATTTTTTTTTGTAACTTCTTTTAAATTTATTTTGGATTAATTAAAATTTGATTAGGATTATTAAAGATTACTAAGAGTTTATTTAAGATAATATTAAACTTGGTAGGATTTTGTTGTTGCATTTCTACTTACCTTCTATAGTTAGGTGGCCAATGCATTCTCAAGCAAGAATAAAAGTAATACAATAATGAATAAGAACTTGATGAATGAAAATAAACAAGTGAAATGTTTCTTAAATAAATATGACAAAAATAATATATATATAAAGAAAATAGAATCGCTATTGCTAACAGATAAGAAAATCATAGATTCTTAAAACTAAACTAAAAACAAGAAAGAAATTAATAAAAGAAAAGAAGGCATTACTCTTGCTTCTATTTATACTATCTAATTAGAAACTATAGAGCAACATTTTATTAGACCTCTAACACATATCAAACTTCCATAATATATGTACAACTTGTAAAGTAAGCTTCAGATATGTGCACAACATGTTCAATTTGTACCACAAATGTCTAACATGTACAACATGTGGCCAACGTGTTGGCCAAGTTTTCAACCTATTAATCATCTATAGATATGTATAAGGCAATGCAATAGCTATGAAGCTTTTAAGAAGCTTTTCTATGATATATTATCAAATTTATCTATTTTTATTTATTTTTACCTACTTCTATCTAGTCAAGTTATCTAGGTGATTATATGAATAAATATGTATGTCCATAACACCAAGTTGACAACCTATTAATCACTTAAAAATATGTATAAAGTCTATAAAACTTCTATGATGCTTCCCAACAAGATATCAATAATTTTATCTTCTTTTATTTTCTTCTACTTAGTTCTACTAATTTAAGTAGATATACAAATGAATGTGACTATTTATTACACAAAGAAACTTGATTTAATATTTAGATAGGTCAATTTAATTTTTCTTATATACATTTTTTTTAAATAGATGCATACAAATATACAAATACCAATATTTTTAATATGTATGTTGTATAAATATTATCTTGTTTTATATTTGTTTTACATCTCAGATATGATTTTGACATGTAAAATGAATATAAGATCCATATTAAATTTTTATATATAAATATGTATATATAATGCAATGAATTAGTAGTCAAACAATCATTTTTTTATTCATTATTTTATTTCTAAATTAATAAAAAAGAATTCAAGATATTGCATGTATCAATCCATGGAACAAAAATAAATATATATGTATGTGTATGTATGTATATATCCTATATATGTGCATTAAATACATCATCATTATTGCAGTTCTTTGATTTGATTTGATTTTTTTATGAATTATGTACAAAAATATTATCTATTTATATTTCATAAAGTTTTTGAACAAAAAAATATTGAAGAACTGATTAATTATGACAATATTACACTGTAACAATATGTATTTTTTTATATATATGTTTTTAATTTTTATTCCATTTGATTAGAATTTTTTATTTTTTGTGAAAACAGTTGTTTATTACTTACCAATGCAGTTTATTTTTAAGCATACAATGTCTATTACATACTATCTTTAAATAAAATAGAAATCTAATAATAACCATCAACATGACCTTGCAAACTATTAAAAATATTAGTGAAAACATGATAAAATGATTTAAATGTGCTTAGTACCTACTTTTTAATCAATCCTTATATAACATCTCTTTTGACATATGAAATATATTATCACAAACGTATGTTACATGGAATGAATACATTTTGTAAAACAATGTAATTATTTATTTATTTTAAATATTGCAATTAAATTATATTTTTACATTTACCAACAAACATGCATTCATTAGTTTGGTTGTCAACAAACTTGATTTCTCTCTCTCTCTCTCTGTACAGGACCAAAGATTTGACTTACAGCTGAGCACAACAACCAATAAAGAGGCAAATACAAAGGAAAATGGTGAGTGAGTGAGTGAGAGTGGATGAACAGAGTGAGGAAAACACAAAGAAGGACATGGGCAGGGAAGTAGGCATAGCAGCTTCACAAGGTGGGTCATGGTCAAATTCTCAACGCAAGGCTCCTGTGGTCTTCGTTTGCCTGCTCCTTTCATCCAACATCCATCCCTTAAATTTTCATCCATTACTCACAGTCTTCATCCGCATCACACAATATTCATCCATCCAATGTGTACTGCGAGGCCTTCATTTGTCCACATCAATCGAGCTTCTAGATGTGAAGACTTATCCATTCACCACTCCAAACTCAGCATGGTGCTCATGGTTTTTAATTTAAAGTTCTTCAAGTATTAGATATTTTTATTAGATGTGAAAAGTAAGGGCCTTGCAGTCAGAAACAGCTTTAGCACTGGTTGTATGGGAATAAAATTTGAGCTTGAATAGATCCTCATGTTTGTACTTCTAATACGTACGTAGTCAAACATGAACAAACAAATCAATCATAGGTTTGGATTATTATCATTACTGATAAAAAAAATTAAAAATCTATATTTTTTATTTAGTTATTTAGTTATTTTTCCAACCGCAGTACTCTACCAAGTTTGTGTGAAATATCTTTAAAAAATTTGTGTTTTCTTTAAAAGTGATATCAAGCAGCTTCTTGAAAACTGTTAAATCCTAAAATTATAGTACAAGCAGCACAAACAGTAATTATGGGGGGGAGGGGGGAGGGGGGGGGACTTGTCGTAACAAGCAGCTTCGATTTCATAAAACATACAAGTCTTGTTCAACAAAGAAATAAATGAATCAATCTCAACGACCATTCTGAAGAAAGAAATAAATCCATCACTAACATCTACTTCGAACTTAACTTTCTTTTGCAAAACTTGAAAATAGATGACAAAAAACTGAACTGGCATCAGCGAAAGCTAGACTTTTGACTTTGAAAGAGTAAATGTAGGAATAAAATTTTGACGTTTTCCAAAAATAAAAATAATTGTCTTCACACAAAATTGTGTATATAAAGTAATAAGCTGTATTTTGACTTTCCACACAACATAAAAACAAAAACCCAAGATTTCTGTATATGAACACTTTGACTTCACTCATTCAACAGACAATCAAAGGAACTATACACGAGAATAGCAAAATTCCAAACAACAACGACTAGTCGATACCTCATTTGGAGTGATTACTTTGGAACTGGACCCGGGCCGGACATGGCCAGCGTCGCTTGACTGTCGTCGCAACGAGGCTTCCCAGCGCGCGCAGCCAATCGCGGCGCGAGTGAGTGAGCGAGCGACCGAGTCAAGCGGGATAGAGTGTCAAAGGTCTTCCTGACACGGAGCATAACGCGCGACTCCCTCTTCAACTTTCAACGACGACTTTCAAAGATACCTTTAGTCAATTGTCAATCCTGCAGACACTCACTTTGACGTTTAGTAGTTGAAGGAAGCCATACCTGGCTGGCCCACATACTACGACCTCGTGGTCCCCAGCCATGTCTACATCTGAGTTGACCACTGCAAACGAAGGTGGCTTCGGATCTGTGAAGCAAAACGTGATAAAGGCTTCTGGATGAGTGCACAAATTGCATGATCGGGGTGCTAGACACTCGTAACACTCTCTGGGGATTTATATTGTGGTGGAGTGCGCAGGGGATGAGGATTTCCCAACTCTGAGATTTATCGTTTCTGACGAGGATCGTGATCGGGTTTGCGGGAGCTAGGAGAGGGTGGTAATCGGGTGTTTCGTTTTTTGAGTGTGGGATTTGGTGGAGCGACAGGATGGAGTTCAATCAGTTGGTTTCGGTCGCTGCGGTGGTGGTTGTCCTCGGGGCGTCGCTTGTATTTCTGAGGTTGTTTACGAAGAAGAAGCTGAACCTGCCGCCCAGTCCGAAAGGGAGGATGCCTATAATTGGTCATCTGCATCTGATGGACGACAACGAGGCCGCGCACCGGACGTTTGCGAGGATTAGCGAGCAGAATGGTCCTCTGACGATGATTTACATGGGTAATAAGCCCACACTTCTGGTCAGCACCGCGGCGATGGCCGAGCAGGTGCTCAAGCACAACGACCAGGCCTTCGCGTCTCGCCCCTTCATCACCGCTGGGAAGACTCTGGGCTTCGACTTCAAGAGCATCGTCTTCGCCCCCTTCGGAAACTACTACAGGCGCCTCCGTCGTATCTACACCGTAGAGCTGCTTTCTCCCAAGCGTGTGGCTCTCTCTCAGGTACAGATTCTTGCGGAACTTACATAATTCAACATCAGTCTAGATACTGAATTGACATCAACGAGGGGACCCTTCCAGTTTCACTAGTGAAAGTAATACTCTGTTCCAAAGCTAATTACTTAAGAAATCCATCTATATCATTGCAAAATGAAGTTCACAGTGCAGGTTTCTCTCCTTGCAATTCTCTGTACAGACTCGGTTCTCTACCTCTGTGGGCTAATTGTACTCTCTCTTGGGTCTATCAATTAGAGTTTGGATCAAGTTCTTGCTTGAGGTTCAGAACGTCTAAGCCTAAGATTCCTTTTTCCCCTTGAATATCATCTTGCAGGTACTGAGGCAGCATGAGATAAAGCACGTGATAAACAGCGTGCTAGCCGAAAACCAAGCCGAAGGACGTGTGAACATGACCTCTATTTTACAAGAGATGGGCATTGATAATTTAGTAAGGATGATATTCGCAAAGCCACACATGGGCGCCACGGAGTGTCTCACCAAGGAGGAGATGGCAACATTGAAAAGTGTGGTGAAAGAGGCTGTTAACTTAGCCGGCGTCATCTACGTGGGCGACTTCATCCCCTTGCTTGACATTTACGACTTCACGGGCTACAAGAAGAAAACCAACAAGCTAGCGGCAAAGATGCTCGACATCGCAACCCAGTTGATTGAGAAGCACAAATCTGACGCAGGAACTGGCGTTGATAACGATAAACTAAACCTGGTAGACATTCTATTATCTCAGAAAGGAGAAGATCAATTGCCTCCCCATGCGATGGCTGGCATTCTCTTTGTAAGTTGTCTGGAGACCCACCTTCACAGCACTTAGATTTTCGCAGGCACTTCGAACTGTTCAGAATTAGAGCAAATTTTTTTAGGATTGATGGATTAACATTGATGTTCTCATCGTTGGCAGGATTTCATCATCGCCGGCAGCGACACAACCTCCGTTTCCATCGAGTGGGCAATCGCGGAGCTTCTGCACTACCCTCACTACTTGAAACGAGCTCAGGAGGAGATCGACCAAGTTGTGGGCAAAGAGAGGCTCGTCACCGAACAGGATATCAAGCACATGCCCTTCCTTCAAGCCGTGGTGAAGGAGCTCTTCCGGCTCCACCCTGCGGCGCCATTGGGCATTCCCCATTGCAACATGGAAGAAACGAAGCTTGCAGGCTATGACATCCCCGCCAAGACCACGGTGATGATGAACCTTTGGGCCATTGGCCGAGATCCTGCGCACTGGGATGACGCTCTAGAATTCAAGCCAGAAAGGTTCCTCAACAAAGACATTACATTAATGGGGCGTGATTTCCACTTAATCCCGTTCTCAGTTGGACGGCGGCAGTGCCCGGGTGCCGGCCTTGGCCTGGCAGTGGTCCAGCTTGCAGTCGCAAGTCTTCTTCATGGATTCGAATGGAGCACGTACAACCAGAAGCCGGAAGAGATCGACATGCGGGAGAAGCCTGGGCTCGTGACTCCTCGAAAGTCCGATCTAATAGTTACTGCCGTTCCGCGCTTGCCCCTCCATGTCTACCAAGGAGACAAGAATGGCGTTCAAAACGGCCACTAATCTAGTCTAGATAGCATTCCAAACAAGCTTCGTCAGATGTAGCTTTGGTGCTGCCACCTACTGCAAGTGCTCATCTTAATTTTAAGGTCATCTCCGTCCTAAGCCGATTCTTTGTCAAATTTTGGTACCGTCCCATTCAGGAAATCATGTTACATTTTAGAGGGACTGGCAGTTGGGGGTACGTAGAGATAAGCGTTACCGATAGGGACCGAACATTTTACAGGCCACCAAACTCGGCGAGTCTTAGGTGTGCATCATGTTCAGAAGTCTCGAGTTGGAATCATAGCTTAAATTTTCGTAGAATGGTGACTGAATTATTTGCTGCTGGACCAGAACTGTATAGAAAGTCTTTAAAGAATTAGTATATTCTCACGACTTTCGTCCCCTGTGTTCGAACTTGGGTATATGGAGTGTTCTAAGTTGGAGTGCAAAGTTCTCTCCATCTGAGAAGACACAGTGTGAACGGGGGTTGTCCGGTCGGAATATTCAGTGGCTATCTTTTGAGCATATTCTCTTTTTGTTGTTAAGTGTTATAAAGAGCATTCCGAGCTGCAAATGGTCTCCAAAGAGATGGAGTGCGTGGGCTCAAAGTATCGTTTTCCTGAAATGTTACAACTTTGAATAGTTCTTACAAGTACTTCGCCAGGAATTTGCTAGACAAAGTGTGATATATAGGCATCTTCATTTGGCCAGTAGCCAAAATTTGACACCCGCCAGTAGCAACGAAAGGCGCCTACCCTTTGTGACGAGGTAGAATCATGGGGTTGTTTCTGAAAGTGTATATGAGCAGCTTCACCATCCCAAATATCTGAGTTTGACAAGATTGTTCATGGTGACACGGATGTAGTGGTTGTGTAATTAGATTCAAAGTTAAATGCACAGTTAAATATTCAAGAATGTCATCGAATTTTTCCAAGATTCACTGTCGTACGAATCTATCCCAAAATGTATGCGTAGTGACGAGGAACTTTTGTGTACAGGTAAAAGATATGCGGATTTTACTCAAATACAAGTGTTGATTGAAATTTACACCCATGCCATGGGGCTATATACTGGAGTACAAAAAAAGAAAAAATGCTATGTAATGAAACATTCATGTGGATTGTAGCTAGCTGCACAAAACTGACAGCCGTCATTGTCGTGGGATGAATCCCGGTGGTTAACAGCAGACAACCCTTTCCACACTAACCTGCAAAATTCGAACACTATCGTTGGTGTATGAATTGGGAGCACTGCAAACTGGTCTTTAGGTTTAATTAATTCAATTCATGTGGAAGTGCTACAGAAATCATCCTTCCAGTGAACGGTGGCTTACCGTTGCGGGGGCTGGGCAGAGCAAGCTCCACTGTCAGTACTTGTAGATCAAGACTTGGTGGACTAATAACAGGCAGACGGTGATGTTCGTACGGCCCGTGCGTGGTATGTCAAAATTGGTCAGGCTTTAGGACTAAAAATGAAATGCACTCAGTTAGAAATGATTCCTCAATATGTACATTTAGCAACTCATCCCGTACCATCGAACGTCAATGCCGACAGCATCTGGAGCTCACTGACCCACACCTGCAATGGGGGTGGTGGTGTGACCCAATTTGCACGGGCGCTCAACCTCCCAGCATAGTTTTGGTCCTTTTGCCAAAATCGGAGTGTAAGCTTCTAATTTATCGAGTAACTCACTTGCAGTTGGTGCAGATACAACGATGCTTCTAGATGAACTGTCAAAGAACTCCTCCTCCATTTGCTTGTCGAAAAAAGTAAGCAGTGTGTCATAGAAGCCGTCCACGTTGAGGAGTCCCACCTGCATTAAAATTATTTATATATATATGTATATATATATTTCAGATTAGCTCGCTCAAAATACTTTACACTGTCAGGTCCCTGACAACCCGCTGTTAACTCCATTTTCTGTGCAAACCAGTCAAGTCGTGGCATAGAAAGGCACTGTACCGGCTTCCTGTGAATGCCCAACTGGTTCCATGTTATAACCTCGACGAGCTCTTCCAAAGTCCCATAACCACCTGCAAATCATAACCATCAATCAGTACTTCGATTACCGTTTTATTAATAGATGGTGAACCTTCTTGCCCACGAAATGTGTAAATTCTCATTCCATAGAATATTGGCAGAAAATCAATCACCTGGAAGGGCAATGAAAGCATCCGCTTGACGGGCCATCTCGGCTTTCCTTGAATGCATATCCGGAACCGCTATAAGTTCTCCCACAGTATTTCCCGTAAGCTCTTTTCCAATCAATGCTTTGGGAATAACACTGCATTCATATAGACAACAGAGTTCTTACCTTGACGCCCATGAAGAGGGAAGTACTGGAAGAAAGTGTATGAAGGCGAAGGGAAACGAATTTGTCCCATGCGTGCTGACATGATGCGGTAATAATCTAATTAATAGAACAGGATTTAAGTCAAAGATTAACGACCCGCCACAACTAAAGAAGAACAGCATCGGAGACATTTGGCGGGGCACGAATGTTTGTCAATTTATCGATTTTCGATTGTCAAAGAAAGACTACAGCTTCAACCACCCATATCTAGAGACAGCATTGCGATAACATGTCCGTGACAATCCCCTGAATGCCAGGTGCAGGTGCTCACCCACACACTTGACCACCACCGGCTTTTACAGTCTGTGCGACTTGGCCCATCAGTCCAATACTACCTCCGCCATAAACCAAATCAATCTTTCGATTCACCTGCCCAATCAGTATTCGGTGTTAAATTGCCGACCAAACGTCTAAAATAAGAGGATTCCACCTGTAAATGCGAAAACAATGCAACTTTTGCCACTCTCTCAGAAACCTGAGAATAATGCAACGTGGGCAAAACACACCAGACTAAAGACAAGCAACCTCCTGGCCAATGTCCAAACAGTGCTGAACAAAGCTTCAACTCATGAATTTACCCAACATACGAAGAACGAAACCCACTGCAGCGTTAGTCACAGCATACCAGTTCGCGGCCAAGGTTGAGAGCCTCGTTACTGAACACGCCCTTCTTGCCACTGCTACTACCGCAGAAGACACAGATCTTCTTGAACCGCTTGGAAGGAAACATAATTTTCTCCGCGTAATGAACCACCATAGGTGCGACAATCTCCTGATCCTGGATGGCACCCATGACGCTACTTCTCCAACACTCACACCGGAATCCTTAAGTTCTTTCTCCCACAACGGCTCCGGATTCAAACCGAAGAACGCAGTTTGCCGCCTTCTCCAATGCAAGAACGTTCCCAAATCCTACCAGATTCTCAACCCCTGCGACCGAATTCTAAACATAAACACACACAAACACACACACACACACACCCAAACTCCTCTAGCGCTAAGAAATAACCACCGTGTAATGCAGAACCAGCTGAAAGAGACGAACACGTAGAACTCGGGAACAGAAATCCGCCACGAGAGAGCGCGAAACCTGCTGCAAGAGGGGGCGATGAGAGACACTGAGGACTAGATGGTGGCGGGCGGTGGTGCAATATATAGACTGCTAGCGGCGGGGTTCGTCCATCGATAGAGGAGTGCGGACCCGGTCGCCGACCGATCTCGCCGTGGCGTGCGAGCGGACGACCAGCGCGACGAGGGAGCGGGCGGCGCGACATCCGAGGCCATTCAAAGGGAGAGCAGCAGCCAGCCACTGTCGTTATTATGTTTGTTTGCATGAGAGAGAGAGAGCGAGAGCAAGAGCCATGTTTGTTTGCGAAGGGATAAGCTACTGTGGATGGAAGTTACAACAGCATTGAGTATCATATGAGGATACTCTCTCTCTCTCTCTCTCTCTCTCTCGATTCTTCTTTGCAATCTTGTAGATTAGGAACCCAACTTCCGTGTAGTAGTTGGAGGTCCAAAGCATATGCATCCCTTTTTTATTCCCTTGAGTATAATAATAATAATAATAATAATAATGAAATTTATTTGTGAATAAATCTTTTTCTTAATTTGGAAAAGATAAAAGCTTCAATTTTCCATAAAACCATCTAAAATCATCTCTTATCAGAAACAGTGTAAAACACATACTTCTATCTTTTCTGGGATGTTAACCATGTAGCATAAAATGGGTTCTTATTCTTTTCCACATCAGAAGAAAAGACAAAAGAGTATGAATCTATTGGCTTTTAGGGTTCGGAGATATAGCAAGCATAAAAATTAAAAGGTAATTCTCAAGGATCCAAGGCTTGAGAATCAATCCCCTTCACCCACAACATTTTGTTCAACTCTGGTCTTTGCCATGATGTGACATATTCTTCTCTACATAAAGAATGGAATCAGGCTAAAAGGACATGAGTTGTTCTTATATATATACATAAATGGCTCGTGCTTGTACTAATGCATAGCTTTTGTAATATGAATCAGTTTTTGCATTTTTCACAGTAAATTGAAAAGAAAACAAAAGAAGAAATGGACAATGATGCATTTGAGCTGCCTTTTATTTTATTTATATTTATTTAGTAAACATGTGAATGTATGTATGGATGAAAAGAATATGCAGATGGGCTCATTCAATTGGCCAACTGATTCCCTAATTCCAAAGTTGATGTCATGTATTCTTTCTCAAACAGTTAGCAGAATTATTCATTGGCTCACCCCCCCCCCCTCCACCACAATCATGATTATTGTTATAGGGCATTAAACTTGCCCTAATTATGCAGGGAAGCCACTGCTATAACTGTGCACAATTGTGAATAGCAGTCATTATTTTATCCCTGATGGGAGAAAAGTTTATCTATGAATAGGGTGGTTAGCCTCGATTTTGCTGCAAGGAAATGGATTAATTGTTGCGTTTGTCATTCTACCATTACTTTGATATACTGTTAGTATGCATACTTTATTTTTTCCTCATGTATGTTTGTGAGTACAGTTTTATGTGTATATATATATATATATATATATATATATCTTTTGCAAATTGAGAATGTGATGAATTGAATTGATAACTATCATGTCTTCAAATGCATGATCAGGGGTTCCTTAGTTTATGCAGTTGTTTTGTTGGAGTTTTAAAGAGCATTTAAGAATCAAAATAATGAGAGGATTTTGGTGAGTAAAAGGTGTTCATTAATTTAGAAGTGATGATGCTTATAAAACAATGATATTGTTGATTTCCCAAGAAACATCTAAATAAAGAGTTTAACTAGGTTATAATTTATTGGTTTTGAATATTGGGCACAGTTCAATGTTTGATCAAATTTCCAAGCTGTTCCAAGTAAAGGAGAAGAAACTTGTTAAAACATTTGAACAAAGATTGTACTGCAATAATGTTGTATTTGTAGATTTTGACCATGAAAGGTGCAAAATTAAAGGTCTACGAATGTTCTCATCCACATAATTGAGCACAAATAAATGCCTAAATTGCATGCTACTGATAAAATTTCATATCCCAAATTGTGAATGTCTTGTTTATTTCAAACCATGATTATCTTTTCTTGTCAATTTATCTATTATCAACACACACGATGCCTAAATCATTTTACATATATTTATGCACTCAAAAAAATATGCAAATTACAATAAAATTCAGTTTATGCATTATATTTTTAAAATTTTAAAAAACTAAAAAAAAGAAAAGAAAAGAAAACTACCAATTGTATCCAACTATACCTATACAAATTTTAGTATTTCAAATTGCTCAATATAATCAATGTCAATAATAAAAAAAAGTCTCTAATGTACAATCTTTATGTCAAATTGTGATACATACATACATACATACATACATACATGTACTCCACTTAAAATTTCAACGGATGGAAATTTTATAAGCTATATGAGAAATATTAGTTAAAGATAGTATGTTTATTACCTAAAAATGATCTTTGTTCTAGAAAATATTATAAGGTTATTAAAGAATATTGGTTAAGAAATATGAAATAATTAAAGTACATATATATGTGTGTATATATATATATATATAGCTTTTGCTAATGCCACTATAATTTTTGCTATTGCCACCACAATCTCCCATCCAACAAATGACATTTCAATACATTTCAAACCACTTAATTGAATTTTTTTTTTTATTAAAATATAAAAAACTAAAAAATTATGTTGAGTTGGTAGAGGGTTAAATTGTGGAAATATTTAAAATATCCTTTATATATATATATATATATATATATATACATATATATACTAGTGGAAACCTATGTCATGGGACACAACATAACTATTTACAAATAATAAACTGGAAGTCTTTTTGCAATTTATGCAAGGCTTTTAGCTAGTTAACAATTTCTTTGATTTTGCCCAATGAGAAAATTTCTATGTCTCTTTGTCTTATATCTAAACCTCCTTGTTATATAGATAAACATATATATATATATATATATACACAAACAAACAAACACACACAAACAAACACACACAGCTAGATAGCTAGCTAGAGAGAAGGTGAGAGTAGGGAGAATGTGAGAGCAGAAGAGTGAGCAGGTGCCCCCACCCACAAGCTCAAGCGGTGCAGTGGGAATGAGCAAATCCCAACGCCGTCGCGGCTCACTCACTGGGATCCCTCCCCCTCCCCGGCAATGCCAGTGCTTGGCAGTCTTCTGTCTTTCTCTTGGTTTCCACCACCAGGGCTGCTGCCGCTCCTCCCCAACTTTCTGTCGGACTCGGCGCGCACATCAGACACACACACACACACATACAGGCAGAGACCCAGAGAGAGAGAAGCAAACGCAGTTCCATCCCCTTCCCAAATACAGCCGCAATTGCATGCGAAATGGCTACAGGAACTCGCGTTGTTGAAGATCCCTTCGTGGCTTTGCACTCAACACCTTCCTCCTTCTTACTCTGCTGAAAACGCCAAAGACGGAAGGAAGGGTACCGGCTTTTCTATATTTGTATACTATACGACCATGTAAACATATTTAGAGTGTGTTGGATTGTGGTGTTTGTAGCAGCTGTTTTATTTTTTTATTTTTATCCTGTCCTCGAACCCACGTACATCAACATCTATCAACATGAACAATGCATGAAGGAAGAACCACATAATGCTTTTTGAATTTGACTATAGTTTGAACATGTTATGATAATATGTTATAATATGTTATAACATTTCGTTCTAATATCAACATATTGTAGTTTGAACTCGGCATAAGTTATAGTTGCTGGTGAAGAATGTGGAGAAAACAGTGGTAGGTTGATTCTCTTCAAGTATTGAAGCAAATCATAATGCTGTTTGTTACTTATTCCAATTGAACCAATACGCACTGATATGTTGATGAGCTGCTTCAGACCAGCCTATCAAATCTAAGATTGTAATTCAACATTCAAGTCGTCATGACTTCCCAACAGATTTGGAGTGGGTAGTTGGTAGAAATGCTTAAGGTAGACAGGTCAGGTGAGATTTTTGTGGCGGCGCCATCGCTCAGCCTGCGAATGCTTGAGAGAGAGATCCCAGAGCAGCCTCGTGAGCCAGAATGGATGACTCTCTGTGTTGAAATGCATGCAGCAGCGAGGATCTTGTCCCTGCGCCAAATATGTGGCGTGCGAATGTCCTTTGATAGACAGCAGGGGGATTGATCGGTACTGCAGGACCACATTGAACACGTTCAGATGGGCTTGCAGTGACGTCAAGACTGGCAGAGGGGGACAGATGCAATCTTCCCCCACGCATCCAAATTCTTCGCGTCAATCGCTGACAAGCGAGAATCATCCAGAAAAAAATTGCCCGTCAGTTGCCATTTTTAGTCCTACGTCATGTTTTGGGGGGAGGAGAAAGTCATTGCTATTGCAGCACGAGTTGAATTGAGTTTCGCAGAATTTGGTCACAGCCGGAATGGTATATTAATGGAATAATCTCACACGCACAACTGCGGTGTTCGCGAGCAAATAATTAAAAAAACTTGTGTTGATTTCAGACCCAGAAGATTTGATCGTGTAATTGGGGTTGAAGAAAGGCGACTAAGAGGAGTTACCGCCAAGTGGATGAGCCACGGGGATTGGGAGTAACGACCTTGGTTTACCATTTGGCGGCTCTCGGGAGCTGCACCGGCTCAAAAAATAGATTTGCATTCCTCACGTGGATCGTCAGCCGTCAGCGTAAACCGAACGGATCGTAGCTGTTGCGTGTGAAGTAGCCTGATTAGATTCTCGCCTACACGGTAAAGAGAAAATCGATCCGGTACATACATCCTCACTGGTTTGCTAGATTCGATCGGCGACAGAAGTCCAACTTCAATTTGGTGTGTGAAAGTACAGTTTACTATGCAGCAGCCGCATTGGTCGACTGGTTGTCGTCAGTCTTTTTTGGTACAGTTG